CAGTTGTAATTTCCGGGTCAGTTTCAAGGGTAGCCCTGCATACAGCGAGTTACAGTAGTCTAACCTGGAGGTGACCCTTGCGAGGGTTACTGTGGCAAAGTCAGGGCGAGACAGGAAGGGGGCCAGTTGCCTGATCTGGCACAGCACAAGGAACGCCAGTCTGGCAAAATTTGTCACCTGGGCCACCATCGATAAGGAGGCATCCAGGAGCACACCCAGGCTCCTGGTGGTCAGCACCAGTGCCAGAGGTACCCTGTCCAGAGTTGGCAGGTAGGCACCCCAATTCTGAACACCCCCCGGCCCAACCACAGAACCTCCATCTTTAATGGATTCAGTCTCAGCTGGCTCTGCTTCAACCATCCAACCTCAGCCTCCAACCCTTCAGCCGAAATGGATGGGGCCGTATCCAGCCGGCTGTCTATCAACGGGGCAGCTGGGTGTCATCTGCATATGGATCACAGCCCAGCCCCGAAACTGTGTCGTCTGGGCCACGGGGCACATTGGAGAGAGGACACCACAAACCAGGGGGTATCAAGATGAAGCCCTCTCTCCTAGCGCCACCCTCGGTCCCCGACCACGGAGAAATGAGGTAAGCCACTTTAAAGCTACCCCAGGAACTCCTGTGCTGGTGAGGCAGCGGGTCAACAGGTTGTGGCTGACTGTGTTGAATGCTGCCATCAGGCCTAACAATATCAGCAGCGCCAAGTCCAGTGTTCCCTCTAAGCCGAGTGAGTGTGAGCTAGCTCACATTTGTTTAGCCTCTGGCTCACACATTTTTGTCTTAGCTCAGGAAGGGATGGGGCTCCAGAGCAAGCGAATGTATGCAGTAGTCAAATAATCTGCTCACAACTTTCATGCTGGTAACTCAGAAAGTAGAATTTTTGCTCTCAGGACTCCACAGCTTAGAGGGAGCCAACCTGCCTGAATCCAGCTGCCTGCCTGCAAAGATTGCCTGTGAGGGTGACCAGCGCCGTCTCCATCCCATGGCCAGGGCAGAAGCCGGACTGGAACGGGTCTCGGACCGACGTGTCCTCTAGGAAACTCTGGAGCTGTTCTGCCACCCCTCTCTCAACTACCTGGCCCAGGAACGCCAGGTTCGAAACTGGGCAGTAGTTGGTAGGATCTGAAGGACCCAGAGAAGGTTTTTTAAAGAGCGGTGTCACCACGTGCCTCTTTTAATCCCCCTGAGCTAAGGGACAGGTTGATAATGTCCATCGTGGGGCCCCGTATTCCTTCACCACTGGCTTCCACCAGCCATGATGGACACGGGTCCCAGAGGCACGTGGTTGGCTTAACAGTGCCCAGAGTCCTGTCAACATCAGCCCGTGAGAGACAGCTGAAGTTGTCAGGTACCGAATCCAAAGATGGCCGAGGGGCCTCTAGTTGCCAGAGTGTATCCATGCTGGCAGACAGGTTGTGGTGGGGTGACAAGACCTTATCTGCAAAAAAAGCTCACAGCTCATGATCGAATTACTAGAATTTTGCGTCCTCTCTGTAAGAGAAGTTAAAGACCGAATTGTCCTAAATAATCGTGCCGAGCAAGAGCTAGCAGATGTGATGGAGGCTGCATAAAATTCCCCTTTAGGAGACTTCACTGCCATCTCATAGGATTTCATAAACGTCCCACAGGATGTTCTTGTAGCTCCGTTGCAAAACCAACGCCAAGCGCGCTCTAGCTGTCTAAGTTCCTGCTTCATTGCCCAGTTTGGGGCTCCAGGGAGTCAGCATTCCAGTCCTCCCTCAGCACATCTAATGAGTTGCTGGGAGGCATCAGTTCCCGCAGAGTATTCTGGAGACCAATTGGATTCATTAGTCTCCGGAGGCGAGCATAAACCAGCTCGCCACCTAGACAGGGTGGGGCTGGGACACTCAGCTGGGCCTCCAGGGCATAACGCTCCGACCCTGGCACCTTGTCAGTGGCAATGAGATCCACTGCGGCCTGCTTGATGCGTGGGACCGGATACAGTCTGGGAGAGTCCCAGTGTTGCCATGGAGGGCCCACAGCCTGACCAAGGGCGGCCTTGTCAGCAGGGACGCTGAAGTCTCCGAGAACCAGAGAGAGAACAGAACAGAAAACCTTTATTCGGCGTAACATAGATAAATCAAACAAAGGGAAAAGTTAAAGGGTGGGTACAAGGAACAACATCAACCAATATTCCCAATATCTCAAAATACAAGGCAATCCTAGCATGGTTTACAAGGTTTACAGGATATTACTCCTGACTTCCATACATGGGTCAGAAATTCTGCAACAGATAGCGTTATTGCTGGGCTCTTGTCTGCTAGAAAGAAATTTAAATCCCTATACAGAAAGTCTCTCTGCGAAGGGAGAAGAGGGCGAATCAAAATATTGTGCATAACGGAATATTTAGGACAACGAAAAAGAATATGGGTGACAGAATCAGGTTTCCCAAAATTACAGTTGCAAAGTCTATCCTTATATGGAGCACCCCTGTATCTACCTGAGACCACTACTGAAGGGAAAAGGTTAAACCTTGCAAGCATAAAGACCCTCCTAAAAACTGGGATTGTCAAATTGGCAATATACGGTACCATGGATGTATGTGAGGGAAAAAGGGGTAATGAGTAGGGAGAGCAAACCCCAAGACTGCCGGCATTAATGATCTGCGCCTCTATATCCCAAATTCTCCTCCTGACCACCTGCAAGATTGCTACCTCACCACAGTTATAAAGGGGTTCCAGGTCAATACCTAGGGTACCCACCTTTTTCACTATGGCCTGTGACCACTCTGATGTATAAGGGTCAGTTAAAAGTTGGACCTTAGGCTAGCAGGGGGAGATCGAAAGTAAAGCCGAAGCCAATATTTGATTGTAATGATCCAAGCCCGAGATTTTACCAAATGAAGGCCCAGTTCCTTGTAAAGAGCAAAGAGCGACACTGAGTTGGAGACACCAAGAATCTCTTCCCGCTATTGACCAACGGTTACATTTCCATGATTTAGAGAAAACCGAGAACCAGTGTTCCCTCTAAGCTGGGCTAGTGTGAGCTACCTCACAGTTTTTTAGCCTCCAGCTCACACATTTTTGTCCTAGCTCAGGAAGGATGGCTCCAGAGCAAACTCATTTATGCAGGAGCCAAGTCGCTCGCTCACAACTTTAATGCCAGTCGTTAACAAAGCAGAATTTTTGCTCAGAAGACTCCACAGCTTAGAGGGAGCATTGTCGAGAACTATTAGCCTCGGGAACTCCAAGCCCGCTGCCGCCTCCAGAAGCCGGCTGGTGTGCTGGGCGGTTGGTACACCAGCCAGACAGCCAGACCCTCCTCAGTGTCCCATGCCAGGCCAACACAGCAGATACCAGAGATCTCTGGAGTGGGGAGTGCCCTGGAGGAAAAAGGCTCTAGGGTCCCAGTCACACGTGCTGGAAAATGCTGGGGGCGGGGGCGGGGAGCGAGCCTATTTGCGCTGCAGTAATTTGACCCGCCACTGCGTGATCAGACACAGTGGCGGGTGAATCAGGGTTGTTTCTTCGCCGCGTGTTTCCGGCGCGCTTCATCGAGGGATCAGTGATGTAATCTGAGCGCGCTGGAATGATCACACGGGAAACACCATCTGCGACCCGTCACAACCCATTTGAGACTGCATTTTCCCAGGTATTTTTTAACGCCGCGTCTTTGGCGGATGGGTTGCCGACAGGTGCGGGATGCTTGCCAGATGTCCCCGTGTAATCGCGCCATTAAAATCCGCCTGGCAGTCGGGATTCGCTCCTGTTATTGTACTGGCAGAATCATCACATTTTTTGGATAGTGCACTATCAATCACCGCAGTGATGTGGAGAGGGAAGAACAGACAATTTCCATTATGGTGGAATGGCACAGAAACATTTACTCCTGCAGACCGGGGGGGGGGGGTGTATTGACCTCTAAAGACCTGCTCAGGGCAACTTGACATCACAGTGAAAGTCCTGTAAGGAGGTCATTGCATCACCCCTTGAGTGCCCCGCTCTTGAACATTCTCCGGGTTCAAGGAGTCCCGTGTCTTAGTGGCTGATGAGAAGGGTGAGGGCCAACAACTAAAGCTCCTTCCAGGCGAGGTGGAGGCGCTGTTGGTCACGGACAAAGCCGCCTGAGGACGGAGCAGGCAGCCCATCCCGGAGGGGGCTGCCCTCCCCCGGAAGGAGCAGGTCCATAGCCTGGGGGTGCCGCTGGATCCTGGCCAGCTGTTGGAGGCACCCAGTGCCTGTGTTAACTTGGGCTGATACTCCAGTGGTGGCAAAAAATGGGACCTGGCCACAATGATCCATATTCTGACCCCATTCAGGTTAGGTTACCGTAATGCTCTGCACATGAGGATGCCTTTGAAAACAGTTCAGCTGGTCAAAAATGCAGTCGCAAAATGCAGCCCCTGCTCAGGCCGAAAGATCTGCAGGGACCGCAACCAGGCCCAAACCGATCTTTTTTACCCAAGCTTTTCCTTGGGGCACCTGTCTTTTCAACCTATTTTTACAGTCTGCTCGTAGCCTCAGAACCGTTCTGTGGATGTGCTGCTTAATGTTTGTTTCATGCTGTCTTAAGCAGTTTTTCAGCTGTGCATTTTGTGACTTGCTTTTGTGCTGTGGTTCAGCAATCTCATTGTCCTGCTTTTCATTTTCAGGAGCAAGTTCTGGACAGGCAGCAGATACATTTTGTTAATTAATAAACACACATCTAAAAACTGCTCTAGAATTTCTTTCAAGTGTGTCTATCTCTTCAAACGGATCAGAGTTTGGAATAATAACTTAGTAACACTCATGGTAGGATGGCAACCAATGAATTTTCCCCCCTATCATCATTTATGGGATTTTTAAAAAGAAGATTTCAGCAGAATTTGAGTTAGACATTATGAGAAATGTGTGCTTCTTGTTTGCAGCAAAAACTGACACTAACTTGGAGAGGTTGATTTTCCTGGCTCAACGATATGTATTTTAAAATATTAACAAATAACCATAAAACGGAAGTGAAACCAACCTCCAATTGCCTTCTCTTCTCTTCTCTTCCACAGCTCTGGTCACTGACATTAGTCGCCTGGCCGGCAATTACATTCATCCTCGTGGCCATTATTCGACTCAGTTTCCCCCCAGAAGCTCAGCCAAATTGTGAGTAATGGTCTTCTTTTTATCTCACTGAGTTTTCACTGCTACTCCCGAGAATGCTGCATCTCCCAGAAACAAGGTCTTCCTGTAGACTGTTCCGTGGGTTTTAGCAAACATTTCTTCCCATCTTCCCATCTTTGCGCATCATGATTGCCTCGTGTAGTTGTGAGCCTGGTTGCCCCCGTGCCTGCTGTGGGCCATGCGAAGCCACTTTTTTGGGGTGCCGCTCTCACCACCTGCTGGATGGTTGTGGTGCCCTGTGGCATTAAAGGCACTGGGTCATAGGAACACACGAAACCGCCTTATACTGAATCAGAGGATCAGAGTACAGCCACAAAAGGCGGACTGTGAATTTAGAATTCAGAAGAAGGATCGTCAAAATGACATAGGACGTTCCAGAGCACGTCATTAACTACTTGCAATCTTCTAACGTCTTGTAAATTTCTTGTACCTAATATTTTGCAAACTTTTTGCACTTATTTTTGTTATTCTTTGTACGGATAATATTCACTGTGGGACAGATTTAAATGGCATATTTTTTGGATTATTGTAGTAGTGTCTCTTTAAATTTAGCGCTACATTCACAGTCCGCCTTTGTTGGCTATGCTCTGATACCGTGAACCTTCCTTTGTGTATTATACTGAATCAGACCCTCACTCCGCCAAGGCCAGTCTGGGGTCTGCTGCTTAGGCTGCAGAGTCACACGGGCCAGCTGGAGCGGAGGGGAAGCGCGGCCATCTCCTCCTCCGGAGGAATCGGACATGCAGTTGCGAGATCACACCACCCTTTGTAGCTGTGGGCACAGCCCGTCATGGTGTGATCAGATGCAACTGCGGGTGAGCCGGTTTTTTTTTTTGCCGCTTGTTTCCCATGCGCATAAACGAGGAGTCGTACCTCCGCACCGAGGGCCCCCTGTGGAGTACGCGATGATGCGCATACTGCGGGGGGGGGGGAACGGCACCGAGCCAGGATGGAATGATCAGACCGTCCTGATGGCATGAGAGCGTGCTGGCGTGATCAGACAGGAAAATCCGTCCGTGGCCCGTTGGAGCCCATTAGAGTTGGACTTTTAACTCTGCTTCTGCTGCGGAGCAGCACGGGCTGCCGACGACTGCGGGAGGCTTCCCAGATGTTGCTGTCTGATCACTCCCATTAGACCCGTCAGGCATTTGCACCTGTGTCGTATCTAAAGGCGTGTGTGATCGCAGCCTGAGACTGGCAGCAGCTTGGAGCAGAGCTTCTTCTCGTTGCCTCCTGCCTGGTCCTCCTAACTGGAGATGCTGCCGGGGGTTGAACCTGGGGCCTTCTGCATGCTGAGCAGAATCTCTTCCACAGAGCCACGGGTCCTCCCCCCAGGTCCCTCTGTGGGACATCAAGGGGCAGCCTGAGAAAAGACAAAGCTCCCCCTGGGATCCAGAGCTTTATCCTGCCTCCGAACAGCTTGTGGGTACCGACGTCTCTTCTGTATAAAGGCAGCAGAAATCTTGGGAGCTGTCCTTGGAAGAAAGGCTCAAGCGTTGGCCGTTAGCCACCCATATTCTGGCACAGGTTGATGCCTGTGAGTAGTGACGGGACGGAGTGGGTGTTCTCTGGAAATGCAGTCTTCGGGGAAATGGATGAAATTGTCCTTTGTTGCTATCGCGAAGGCTGTAATTTGCCTCAGTGTAAATTGCAGTGCCTTGTGGTGACTTCCATTGCCATGGAACCAGAAGCCAGAGTTAGTTAAGGCACCTTCACCAAACCAGGCCAACCACTATTTATATGCAGGTGAAAAAAACCAAGAAGCTGCCTGTGAGAAACTGACCCCTGCTGGGTTCTTGTTGGAGTCGCTTGCAGCCAAAATCAACAGGAGTCTTTGGGCGCCTTCAAGACTGACAACATGTTATTCCAGGAGACACCCTTGTGGATCCAGGAATCCTTCCCTTTCCCCGAACACAGAGCCGGCTGGCCGGGGAGGGAGGGGAGAAACAGGGAGGCTCCGTGGCCCAGGATCTCGGCCTCCATTTCCTGGCCTCCCCTCCAACCCAGCTCCCACCTGTTGTGGAGCTACTTGCCCAGCCCCAAGCGTGGAGGGATTCCCAGGCGGGGTCACCGACCGCTTTGCCTCTCAGTTATTCCCCTCTCTGCCCGCCTCCTGGGCTCCTTCTGCCCAGGGTGGGGGAGGAGAAAGCGGAATCTCCCCCTTTTCAGGCTGATGCCTGGAGCCCCAGGTAGGGAGTGTGGGAGCCCAGGGACCTGGTGCCCTGGCCGCACCTGCCGCAGGCCGCCCTGTTTCTGGGTTCAGGTTCATCCCTTGTGAATCCGTCTTCTCATTCTGATGGCCACGCTTCCCCAGGAGGGGGCAAAAGGGCGCCACTGGCTGTAGCTGCGAAGGTGGCATGCCCTCTGCCTCTCGTGAACAGAGACCTCACGTGACGTCCAAATACAAGGACGAAATCGGTGCAGTACCTTTTATTAGAACCCATGGAATGGACATGGAATGCAGTGCCAGCTTTTGAGATCACCAGAACTGTTGACCAGGCTGGATGTTACAGATTTAAAGAAAGACAGAGGGGTGGGACAATCACAGGAGAGCAATGGCTGCACCACTGTCTGGTGGTACGGTTTATCCAGTGGTGGCAGCTCATCCAGCATGGGAAGCAGGGTGGCTCTCTCCTTCATGGCTGAGTGGACTCCAAGTGCCCAAGGTTGGGGAGGACGGGACAGGACATTGGGGAAAGTGCTTCTGAAAGCAGGGGACCTGCAAGGACTTTGAAGCCGGCTGAGAACATCTCCCTTCCCTGCATGTTGTGAGGACAGCCAGTGCTTTCCTAGCCTCTTCAGCCAACAGTGCTGTGCCGCCGAGTGCTGAGTCTTTCCCTCTGCCTTCTACAGTGTCCATGTGTGGATTCGTGGCTGCCTTTTGACTTAAAGGACGGTGAACAGAATGATTCTTGGTGTGCATCACTGTGCCCGGCCGGTTGTTTCTTCTCCCCTGCCCCAGAGCATCACTGTGCCTGCTGCTGCCTTTCCCCAACCAGCTCGTCTCAGAACCAGTTTTCAGAGAGCTCTGCACACAAAGATTTGGGAAGTCCAGGAGCCCCACCCCCTCCGCATAGCTCCTTTCCCCTGCAGATGCCTGCTTGTGTGTGAAGTGTGGGTGCGCCTGAGATCTAATCCGAATTTACCGGGTGTATAGCCAGTTTGGTGGAACCTGTTTGCTTGGATGCTAATCATTTTTCCAGCATTTTTAAAAATGGTGCACTTGAGAAGCAAGCGATATCGTGCGCTCTCTTGAGAACTATGGAGGCAAACAGGAGTGCCTGGAGCCGCGTGAAACTCACCCCACAGGACCCTTCCCCTCTTGGCCAGTGAAGCCCACCCCCAAGTCCAAATAATATATAAAAAAAGCAGGATTCACCATCCCCCTCCCTCTCTCTTCCTCTCTACCTGACCCCATTCTACCTTGCTGACTCTTGGTTTAAGCGCTGCCTAGAGTCTCTCCACATGTTCTGCCGGTTCCGAATACGACCCTTTCCCCCTTATAATCTCCCCTATTTTTGCACTGTAAAGATCGCTTCATCACATCGGACAGGTCGGTATTGCCCAACCAACAAACTCCTGCTAATGCGAATGTCTCTGTACCCTTTCAGCCTATTTCTCTTAGTACTGTATTGATTGAGTGTGTGATTGTGTTTACTTGTATGTGTGCAAATCCTCCAGAAAAGAAACCGTTTCACTAAGATCTGGTCTCTCTCTGCATCTATTTCTGGGATTACTGGAATAAGTGGGACTCCTGTATACGAAGGCTATTGTTCCCTATTTGCTGATTGCCATTTAATATATTCAAATTCCCCATCTGTATTAATAACTCAAGGCAATTTGGCGAACACCCCTCCTCTTTTTCCCAAGGGTAGGTCAAGCCGTTCCCTTTTGCAGGGCCTTTAGCTGAGCATCTGGAGAGTCTTTGTTCTGTCCTACACTCTGCATGGCAGGCCCACTGGCCCAAACAGGTCTCCTCTGGAGTAATGCATTCAGGCCTTGTTTGGAGTGTTATCTGGAGTGAGAACAGGGACACCAGCTTGCACCTAGTGGACTGGTTGATCCAGCAAGCTTCCTCTCCTCGCTCAAGTCCCCAGGAGGCGGAGTGGACAGCTGTTCCAGCTGCTCTGGGAGCAGCTCCAGGGACTCATCTTGTCCAGGTTTAAGGAGGGTCTGGGTTGGAAAATCCCTGGAGACTTTGGGGGTGGATCCAGGAGAGGGCGGGGTTTGGGCAGGGGAGGGGCCTCAGCATGGTCCAATGCCCTAGGGCCCGCCCTTCAAAGCAGCCGTTGTTAACAGTAGGTTCACTGGGGAGAAGCAGCATTTGATGGCATCTGCTCTTTGCCCATTCTTTAGAAGCACAAAAACCAACAGTAGCCCAAACATAAGCCTCTCAAATGCCAGTCGAGGCACAGAGTTAGTTCCCTTGCAGAGCAAAATGAAATGCTGGGTAGTCTTTATCAGCCTTTTGTAGGATACGTTACAGAATTTGTGGGCTATTTGTGGGCTTTTCTGAATGGAGTTTTTTCATCAGTTCGGGGCCCATCCTGCTTCATTTTATCCCCCGGTTTCCACATTCATTTTTGTGCCTTTAGTTTTCACTTAGTTTTTTTGTTTGTTTTTCTCTTGTTCCCCCCCCCCAGCTCTTTTGAGACTACTTTTGCCCCAACGTTTTTCTTGAAGTCAATCTTGAGTCACCTTTTTTCCTTGTGCATAAAGTTTCTATTAGTTTTCTTTGTCCTGCTCATTCCTACCCACTCCCAGCCCAATTTTCAATGACTGGCCTCTCATCATCATTAAACCACCACTCCTCCACTCCCTTTCCCCCACGACAAGTGATTTCTAATTTTTAAAAAATGCCTTAATAGATACAGTGTTGGAGTGTTGTAATGATAGGTTAAGCTGCTTCTCTGAATTCCCAGCTTTCACTTTTTTTTCCCGATCTAGCAAAGACATTGAGGGAACATGGAATTCAATACAGT